TTCTATCTCCTCTCTCTATTTTCTCCCTCCACCCCACCTTCATCTCACCCCCTCTTCTGCCCCTGTCTTCCCCTCTGCTCCCTCTCTACACTTGCCCCTCTCCCCTCTCTCCCCCTCTTCCGCTCCCCTCTCTCCCCCTCTTCCGCTCCTCTCTCCCCCTCTCTATTTTTCAGCAGGTGGAATAGAATGGAGGCAGAAAAGGTTTAGTAAGCAGACAATGGAGGTTCCTGGCGGGAGGCTGGATAGGGATCGGCGGGGACTCCGGGAATAATACCGGTATTCAGGAAAGCGGATGTATTGTGGCTGGTCAGCTGGCGGGCGGGGGAGGGGGGAGCGCAGGTAGAGGGACACGCTGTGTGTATTGTCATCAGACTTTCCCCGCAGACGAGTTACATTTATACCGATCGGCTCCACTCCCCATCTCCTCCTAAATATAGAGCATTGAGGAAGCCAAGAAGTACTTACCATGATCACATGACATGCATATCTGAGAAGCCAGTGGCGTAACAATCACCATAGCGACCCAGGCGGCCGCTATGGGGCCCGGGGCACAGGGGGGGCCCGGCCAGGACATCCCTAATGCCTTGGGTCGCTATGGCATCTCATGCTGCTGGCTGTCACTGGCGGCTGTGAAGAGGAACAGGCCGCTATTTACATCACTGACGGTGCTGCTGAGTCAGTGAGAGCCAGCAAACGGCGGTGGAGGAGGCTGGACCCGGCAGTGGAGGAGGAGGCAGGCCCCGGGGTCGGCAGTGGAGGAGGAGGCGGGGGTCAGCAGCGGAGGAGGAGGCGGGGCCCAGCGACGGAGGAGGGGGCGGGCCCGGCAGTGGAGGAGGAGGCAGGCCCGCGGGTCGGCAGTGGAGGAGGAGGCGGGGGTCAGCAGCAGAGGAGGTGGGGCCCAGTGATGGAGGAGGCAGGCCCGGCGATGGAGGAGGCGGGGCTTATCAGCGACCGTGGAGGAAGTGGAGGCGGACAGGTAAGGACTGTGACCAGTCCACCTGAGACCCTGCAGAGCCCTCCATAGAGGGTCTATGGTGGGCCCTGCAGGGTCAACCATAGGTGGGCTGTGTGGGATCTCAAGTGGGCTCTGCAAGGGGTGTAACTAGAAATCACAGGGCCCCATACAAAATTTTGCTAGGGGCCCCGTGATTTCTAGTTACGCCCCTGCTTAGGGATCCAAACTTGCTCTCATTTATGGGCTAGAATTGTTTACTAATTTGTATTGAGATTGTAGTCTATCACGGGAGCAAGCTTGGACGGTGACTACTTTAAAAACACACACAGAGACCATGGGGACAAAAGCAGCCACCCTGCAGAAGGAAGGACAGTGTCAGCATGAATTCAGAGATGATTTGAGGATCTACAGCCGAGTGATACACAAAGAAGATACATTTTGTAAATAGTTAATGTAC